GGTCTGGCCTAATGGCGAGTCATCAGTGGTACCAGGCAGGCGGGCGACAGCAATAAATAGTACTTGGAGACCACAAAATGAGCATTAATGACAAAACTGCCTGTATGGGTTTAGCGCACTCTTTCTTTCATAGCTCTCCTTGAGGGAATCTCTGGTTACAACAAGCAGATTTCACTGCTACTGATGCAACTTCTAGTCTCTCTAACATCAGCATGTTTTTCCTCTCAAAATATCAGATCAAACAAGAAAAAAATATATATTTCTGTTTAGCTGAAGTCCTTCATGAGGCTCCGAAAATGGAAAAAAAAACTAACGACAAACAAGCCAAACATTTTTAGAAGGCAGCATAATCAGCACAAGGGTTAAAGGACTTTAGAAAAGGTTTTACTCTTTGGAGAGACTAGATACAAACATTGTTGGCTGATTTAAAGCCAACAAATGAAAAATCTGAAATATGTCTAGGCTTATAAGAATTAAAGAATTTCCAAAGTAAAGCATGAGTACAAAAAGTTCATAGAATCATATCTGTTTCAGTCCCCTATGAATTAAGAATTGCAAAAACAATATTTAAAACATGCAGTTATGTAAAAATCAGATAAAATCTCATATAACTATCCTCTTGTAATTTTACAATCTGAAATGAAAGCATATCTGACCAAAATGGAACTCTTGTTATCTTTCATAGATTTTAGAAAAAAATCTTTCTATAATCTTTAGCCCCCCTGTAATCTGGTGAATACTGTGAAAATATGTACGATGCTTTCAATGGAAGCATTTTGAGAAACATTTAGTTATGCAATGTGTTTTGAAGAAGTGTTTTCAGATTGAGTAGAGCATCAACAAGGTAGATCCTGCACCCCATAGCCGAGGTACAATAACAACACATCAGAATTTGACAGCAGGTAATACGGTAATTAGATTGACCTTACTAGCCTTGGGCGTTCTCAGCCTGTGTGCTTTAAACAAATCTGTTTTATAGAGAAACATCTGTCTTGACTGGAGGTATTTGATCTCTTTTGAATTTTGAAGTTACATGCATCGCTCCCACATGAAACCACAGGCCCTTTCAGAAGACGGATTAGATTTGAATAAGCTTTGTCAGCACGTACTGTCAACCACACATTTGCTGTCTCGGATTAATGCTCGTCCTTCTTTCCGGATTAGGATTAAGGTTTTCACAATGCTTAATAAAAGATTAATGGCCAAGGCCATTTGTGTTAAACACGTCTATTAGGTGGTAAATTAATGTAACACCTGTGAAACTAACCAAAATGACCAACAGCTCAGTTTTGTCTTTTCAACCGGGCTTGTCTGAAGATTTAGAGATGTTACTCTTCCTGTAAGGCATTAAGGCCCAGGTATTAGACAAAGTTTAAAAAGTAATTACATTTTTAAGAGAAATCAGAAAAACATGTTTTGCTAAAAAATATATGTAAAAACAAAAACACTAAATATTAGCTGTTGTCAGCCTCTGTGATTTTTTCTTTTGCTGCTCTAGAAATAAACATGGACTTTGATACACCTTCTAAAAATGTAATGCATTTAACTTATAGAATTTAAATTAACTATTACTAAGCAAACTAAGAAGATGGTGTGTATTTAGGAAACAGCCATGGCAACCAGTTTTGTATTTTCAGCAAAAGCAACTTACGCTTCAGCTAGAAGATTATTTCCAGTGATGTTAACTATACACACTTTGTCGCCGTACTTAAGTAACTTTTTTTTAGTATCTTTACACTGGTGGAGTATATATTCCACATTTGAACACAAATATCTGCACTTTCTACTGCCTACTTTCTCAAAACTTCTTTGTTACATCTGTGTGTAATGATAACGACATGATGTACTGTAACAGTGGGATAATTAAGAGTACAAAAAGTGCTAAGAGAATGTTTTTCTATCAACAGTGTGTTGATAGAAAAACATTGATAGAGACATTAATTAAGACAGAGGGCTGGGAAATATTGTGGATGATGGATCAGACTCTGAGATGCAAGACATACCGCATCCATTCCCCCTTAATCAGATTTTAAATGTACATGTTGACTATATTTCTAGTTCTATTTTCAGCAAAAGGTATAACTGATCTCTGATTGTAAAATCTAGGGCCTCCTTTTGAAATGGAAAGGGAATGAAAAGTGTGGCATACAGTTGTATTGATCATTAATCAATTAGAAAGTAGAATAATTTCATCTCAGCACAAAAAGAGCTGCTTTGAAGAGACTTTTTTAGAGAACCTTATTAAACACCATAATGAAGATGTAGAGTATCACATTAGTCAAGTAAAAAATAAAGTGTTGGAGACTTGGAAAGTAGGGTTAAGATACAGTTTTCCTAGCTTTGAAAATCCCAACTGTCTGTTCCATCAACTGCCATACTATAGTATGTACTGCAAACCTACAAAGACACTAAGGCTACGTTCACACTGCAGGTTTTGATGCTCAAGTCCGATTTTTTTGTGAAACTCCAAATATATGTGACTTGTATTTGATCTCCTGTGTGACCTGCAGTCATACAAGTGTCCCGCCTGTGCAGTAGAGAACGCAATGGCATAACAGGCCAGTGTGCACTCTGTTTATGGAAGTAAACATGGATGGTAGTGCCGGAGCGCATCTAGCAATGTTTTCCAACCATAAAGACACAATTTTTTCAAGATGGTTAAACATAAATACTACTCTCTGCATCATCGTCCTCCATGGTTGTTGTTTTTCTTGCCGCTTCTTCATAGCAAGACCCAGAATAGTGACCTTTGTCTGGTATTAATGGCGTTCAAGTCGGATGAATGCAACCTGGACATTCAGACACAGGTCGCATTNAGTGTTGGAGACTTGGAAAGTAGGGTTAAGATACAGTTTTCCTAGCTTTGAAAATCCCAACTGTCTGTTCCATCAACTGCCATACTATAGTAAGTACTGCAAACCTACAAAGATACTAAGGCTACGTTCACACTGCAGGTTTTGATGCTCAAGTCCGATTTTTTTGTGAAACTCCAAATATATGTGACTTGTATTTGATCTACTGTGTGACCTGCAGTCATACAAGTGTCCTGCCTGTGCAGTAGAGGATGCAATGGCGTAACAGGCCAGTGTGCACTCTGTTTACTGAAGTAAACATGGATGGTAGTGTCGGAGCGCATCTAGCAGTGTTTTCCAACCATAAAGACACAATTTTTTCAAGATGGTTAAACATAAATACTGCTCTCTGCATCATCGTCCTCCATGGTTGTTGTTTTTCTTGCCTCTTCTATATAGCAAGACCCAGAATAGTGACCTTTGTCGGGTATTAATGGCGTTCAAGTAGGATGAATGCAACCTGGACATTCAGACACAGGTCGCATTTGAAAAGATTAGATTCGTATCAGATTCAGGACCAGATAGCCAAGTGGCCTGGGTCACATTGGAAAAAATCGGATCTGTGTTGTTCAGACAACCATGAAAAGATTAGATAGAGGTCGCATATGGGCCAAAAAAATCAGATTTGGGTCACTTCAGGCTGCAGTGTGAACGTAGGCTAAGACCCACCTAGCTGACTTTTCAGACCAGAGAAAACATTAATTGGACTCTGAAGAAGTTCCTGAGATCTTTAGATGAATCACCACAATCTGTCGTCATAAACAAAGACACTTATAAGAAGAACCCTGTTTTCCAGAGAACCGTGCAGGGGACAGTGAATATTCAAGTTGAGTTAGTAAGATACCCGAAGGGTTTTCCAAGAGGCTGAATACATATGGACTCCACCTTTCATATGTACAAAATAATGAAACCAAATATTATTTCCCTTCTACTTCGTAATTTGGACTACTTTGTGTTGGTGTATCAAATAACAACTAAGAACTAAGTTAAAGAACTATGTTGATAAATGAAATGTGAAACAATTAAAACAGTATCATTACTTTTTTATGATGCCATAAACATAGACACACTTTCAACTGACAGCCCAATGTGGAGACGGTTTATCCTGGTGTATTTTCCACTAAGCTACAACATTCTGTGATTCTCTTTTGTGAATCTAACATTCTGCTTGGTGTGCAACTTTCCCTTCACTTCTACTCAGATGCTCAGATTTAATCCCCAAGTGGCAGTTGCCAAGTGGATGTTTGAAGCAACTTATTCTCCGGGCTGCCAGGTGTCTATTTTTCTTGTCTTTCCAATCTTCAAAAACGAGCAGCCTCCCTTACAACAGCCTGAAGGGATGTATGCTAACAATGATTTCCCAGCTGGGAGCCTAGCAATTACTGCACACCTCCTCCATCCCTTTAATCGCATAGGGAGCTGCTTCCTGACTGATCAGACAAGCCTGCATGATACCAGCGAGACTGGTTTCATCACCTTTGGCAGCCTGAGGTAAATGAAGGTGTTTTGCTGGTGAGTTAAATAAAGGTTGTTTGTTAATAGGGCAAGCTGACTGATATCTCTCTTAAGGCATCAACTCTGCATGATGGAGGGCATTAATACAATTATATAGCAAGTTCACAAATGGCATATTACTCATCCACAAAGAATGTCTAAATAAGTTTAAAAAAAAAATTATTTGCAGGATCAAAGCAAAGATTTGTTACTGTACTTGACAGCAGCTCCTTACCTGTTAGTGTTAAGAGATGTGGCTAAAACACAATGTTAACAAAACTTTAACAAAATTAAGTGTCATAAAGAGGCACAAAGCTTTTTGTAATAGCTTGGTCCTCATCAGGTTGGAAAACTAATGATTTAACGTTTGCGGGGTTCATGGTAACAATATCCTTTCAGTGGCAAGCAGTAGGAGGTTCAAATAGCTAAGAAGGAGTTAATAGCACTTTGCTAATTAGCACAATACTGTGCAAGATGGTAAATTAGACACAGCAGTCTGCTGTTCCCTGCAGGGATCCTGTAAAGCAAACAGGTGATTAGTGTATAGACCATTAGTAACACAGCAAGTTTAACAAAGGCACCATTCTAAAACAATATCACATAAAAAATGACAAAATAATCTGGAAAAACTGATTTATTTACTACATCATAAAAACCACATTAATGTGTATTTGCATTCGCATCTAATTTGACACTGCTTTATTTAAATTTTTGTGTTGTAAATCAGTCCATACAGAAAAAAATAGTGCCTCTGGTACATAGTTGCAGATCATGAATAGTTAATACTGGCTGTTGCCAAAAATGTTCACAAAGGCATGTCAAATAAGGAAGAAAAAACATTGGTAATCAAAACAAAGTTAATGGAGACATTTCACAAAGTGGTTGGGCTTATTTTAATTTTCATCAGGTGTTCCTGAAGGTTCAGAAAGGGTGCTTATTGTCATTGGAAAAAGTGTATAATTATAACGCTGAAAAAAAAAAAAAAAAAGCACAGAGGAATTAATACAACATCAATAAATGTAACTGAGCTGTATGGCTTTTGTCATAAAAATAGCGGTGTTTGGGCATATTGAAAACTGCAGAGAAATTTCCTGACAAATTGATGATAATAACCTACATGGTGTTGCGTGGATTAACAGTTGGAAAAAAAATAATAGAGTCAAAAAACGACAGCTGTCAGAAATAATTTTATATTAACTCTAGTTTGGCTTAAGGCTCAACCATAAACATTGGCCCACTGAGGGATAAATGCTTTATTGAGACTCTCTGGAGATCAAGGGGATGCCATCACTCAGGCCTTTTGACGTGATGAGGAGCTATTGCTGTATTGATCCACCTGGCGAGTTGCACGGGATCAGCTGAGGCCTCTATCGACCTGACTAAGTGGGTCCACAGTTCTCTAAGGGTCAGGAAAATGTTAAGGGGATATTACCAGTTTGTTGGGGACTTGAATCTCAATCTGATTAGGGTGGAACAAAAGGCAGAAGACCTTTAGGAGAGAAATACCTTAAAATACCAGTGCTTTATGAAAAGGAATATACCAATAGGGACCTAAAACCATGACAAACCTGATCAGGCAGCTTTGTGACTTAATATCTTAACAATAAATTATAATAAAATAGACTTCTGAACTTTTTACAGACAACTAAATACTGTACATACACTGTATCACAATATGTCCTGAATGATTGATAAAAAAGACAAGAACCAGCATTAAAATATCATATCTCTTTTAATCCCAGCCAAAGTCATGACCAGTCATCTTGTAAAATTTTCTATTAAAGGGTTTATAGAAATCCCTTAAAGTTTGCACAACTTCCGGATCAATATTTGGATGGGTTCGGCCTTTGGTTTTCCCCAGGCAGTGTGGTTTGGTGTTAATCTCTGGTCTTTTAAGGCAGGGGAATCCTTTTGCTGGGTTAAAGTGGAAATACTTCTCTGTAACCACCCTCTGGAGTCCAAGGAAGTCCTGGACACGAGCCATCTCACCCGCAGGGTCAGTAATAAGACGCTCTCCACTAACAAACAGTAGCTGTTCCATGGGAAAGAACTGGAGCCATCGCTCTAGGTGTCTGGCATACATGCCGATCTGAACAGCGCTCCAAGTGGTGTCGATCAGACCCGCTGACATGTTCTTAAAAGTAAGGCTCTCAAAAGAGGGAATGTCTGGCTTTTTGGAGCGGGTCTGGGTGTAGTCTGAGATGGCACGGGTGACAGGATTCCGAACTACAACGATCAGTTTAGTATCTTTAGACATGGAATAGATCCTAGAGGGGACTTCCCTCGTAACAAAGTAACTAGGGGTCTTCTCCATGGTCAACTGCCCCTCTGACGACTTGGGCATGAGTTCCCTGAAAAAAGAAAAAAAAATAATGTTAATAACTTATATCTTAAAGCTCCCATATTGTAGTACATTTTAAAGTAAAAAGCCCCAAGCATGGTTTTGTCGTTAGTGCAGAAAAACTCTCAGATTAGGCAGACATCCTGTACATAAAATCTCCTCTGAATGAGATGTTTTGGCTTTCCACGCCTCCATTCTCCCGAAGGCCACACCCCCAACGATGCAAACGAGTCAGAGCTTGTAAAGATAGCCTATGAGCGTTTGAAACTACATTAGATGAAGACCGTAGCTCAACAAATGGGCTGGTACAGACCGTTGTTGACAGTTTATTTTCCCTTATGACATCATGAAGGGCATGATTTTCAAACAGAGCGTTTTGTGCACATGTTAGCTAAGAGGTATAGAAAGGCAAAAAAAGAGAGGAAAGGCATATTTTATTTGTGAACCTCATACACAGGCATAAGGACCCAAATAACTGTTACAAAATGTACTTAAAGTGAATTTTGCATAATATGGGAAATCCAAAATCTACACACTTAAAACCATTAATTCATTTAAAAAAAAGTGCAGTACAAGAAGAAGACAAGATTGGCAATGACACGGTCGATTCGTGTGAGGCTTTTAAAAAAGCGTTGCAATGCAGGAACCAGTCAATCATCATCCTAGGGACAATTGTGGATGTCATGAGCTGAATTAAGCAAGCGTGTGAATCTACCTGAAGAGGTAGGAAGTGTCAGGAACAGTAGAAGTACTGTCAGTCATAGATTTATGTCCACGAATACATTCTGAGGTCAAAGAGTTGTTCTACCAACAGGTAGGGCATTTTCTTTTTTACTATATTTTAAGACTTAAATCCTCTCTTGAGACTTTACTATAAAAGACTCCCTACAATTATTAAAACTGACATTAGCTGAACTAGTAATAGACAGCATGCTTTGAAGAACTCTGTCATAATCATCCTTGGTATTCTTTTGAAGAGAATGCAGAAAGTAATTGAGTCCATTACCAAAATTGCTTAATCTTTGGTCAAAGCCAGCCCAACTTAGTCACCGCATAGCCTGTTAGTTGCATCCTCTGCTGTGTAACGGCTAAAGTGACCCAAAGGGGATTATGAATAAATCTTGGAAGCTGGAGCATTAAGTCTGGCTCGTCTCTGGAGAGAGAGACTGAAGAATGTGTGGTCATAACAACGAGTGTCAATTTTTAATCCATAAAATCAAAAAAGGAAAATAGTTACACATTGTGCACAGAATAAGACATGGTAGCTAAAAATCCACTATGCAAGGACATTAAAGAGATGATAATTTAGCTTTAATCCCATGACAATTTTATAAAAAAAAATAGATGCTGCTGACATGTTTTCTTGAAGAATATCTGTTGCATTATTTATACTTAACATCCAATTCAACACTTCTGTTTTGTTTTGTTTTCTGTAGCAGTAAACAAAGTAATCTTCTGGTTTAATGTTGATCAAAAATTTAAATGCAGACTCTCCAAGCAATATGTACCAACTCCATTAAACTATCTAGCATATTTCCAGCATACCTTTGGAGATTTGTGTCTCATGCAGATTTAAGAGATGTCTTACACTGAGTGCTGTTTGCTGAATATTTAATGTAATATTTTGTGTTCACAAGAATGTGCTCCAAAAATATCTCATTAAGGTTTTACAGCATGCTATCATGTAAGTTATCTAATGTTACAGCATTCCAGTGTTTTGCTTGTTAGTGTTTGATCCAAATCAAACAACAGGAAAGCTAAGGACCCATGTCATTAATGTGATTACCATAATTTCTAACCATCTGTTGAAATGAACGACCTGAGTTTCTATATTTCTCGCCATACCAGGGATTTCCCATAATAAAAATCAATGTGTATGTGGTGTAAAGAAGCAGAAAATTGTTTCATGGTATAGGTTAAAGAGAATCTTCTTTTTTCATTATCTTGCATTCTTCTTAGTTTCCCATATGGATGATGCAATGGAACCTCCCCATTGCTTCATATGCATATATTAAGGTTGAGATAAAACTAGAGTAAATAAACTGCAAGTGTATACATTTAGAAGTCACTCTGGCCATTACAATGAAAATTTGATCACAAAACACACCAAAAATACTTTTTGGTTAAAGTGGTAAGTAAGCAGCATGCAGCTATTATGGCTAATAAAGATCATATCAAATGAAGGCTTTTGTTTAAAATCACCCAAACTGTTTCTTTTTGGGGGGTGGGCTGAATTTGGACAACAACCTACTTCAATGGTTTTAAAATAAAAGCTCAAAAACACAATTTTTGATTTATGATGAATTTAACTGCACAGAGTCAGTTATACAGTCCACACAAGCTGAAATATATACAGATGATTTCTATATGTCCGTAAGCGAGTTAAGGAGAAAGTGCATACTTTCTGTCATCATCAAGGTGCTGGTATAATGCTACCTTGATATCTCACAACTCATCTCACTACTTCTCTGAAGCATTCTCTTCTTCTGTAATTGGTTGGATTCCTAGCAAGGACACAGCAAATTCAACAGCTCAGGCTTATGCAGAAGTGTAAATAGAGTCAACTTATTAAACTCACTCTAAACAATTTCTGTAAGTTCTACAGTAAAAAATACAGTATGTACTTGTTTCATCATTTTACAAGACTTAACTGTATATTTCAATGCATTGTGGGTCAAAAATAATCACAGTAACTTGGCCATAATGATTAATAAATACTAAGAAAACTTCTACCAAAACATAAGGGCAGATATGACGAACAATTTCCTATAATCCGCTGGAGATACAGGGCAAGGTTGGGATAGACTATGGCTGACCGAGGCTAGCCTCTAGGCTATCTGCGGGAGATGGAAGGAGCACAGCGGATGATCAGAGCTTTGATAGAGCAAAAGAGACAAGGCAGCAGCTGGAGGTAGGACCCAGAAACAGTCCTTCTAGCAATGTTCCAGTCGTGGTAGAGGGTGGGATTTAAGCTGACGGTATTTATGTCACATAACATTATACCTTTTCTTTTGAGTTGATATTTTCAAGGCAACAAATTGGAGGCTGAACATTGAGAGGTTAGCGTTTGTGGGTCCGCAGCAGAATGTTGCGGCTGGATTGGCAGCATATTTCGCATGCTACTACATTTTCAACCTGGTGTACCAAGCAGAGGTGACAAGCACGCTGGAATGCATCCAAAGGTCTGTAGAAGGTGGAAGTGGGAAAAAAAAATTTATTAAGAGTTTTCTTTATGAATGTGGTGTTATTTTTAACCCACTCCCTGCAATTTGTTTTGCATTGTAATGCCACTTTCTGCTTCAGTTTCATCAGCCCATACTAGCATTTGTATGTGTCCAGATTCTGTCTTATTAACTGTTTTGTCTTTATACATTATTTATTGCACTTCTGCCTGTTTTTGGTGAGGGATAATCCCTTTTTTCTCTCTATTAAGGGTTTTGGGGTGTTTATCCTCAGTAAATGTGAGGCTCTAAGGACAGAGGATGTTGTTATGATCCTATCCTACCTTTTCTCCACAACAAGATGGGTTCAACTGTCTCTTGTAAACGATGCATTTCATTAGTGTCCTTTCCCTGATTATGTGGCTTCAGATGCTTCATTGGGATCATCCCAACCTCTGGGACCGAAACGACCGAGTGAATCGATCCAAGAAGCAGGAAGGTACACAAGAAGAGGAACAGTGGGGGAGGACCTCTTGCTTCTGTACTTCCCAGAAGTATAATGGGCTTTGAATGGCTCTGAGCCTGTCGCAAAAGACAGTGCAATGTACACTGTATTTCATTAGCAAATGTAGTTCTAAAATATGGTAAGTTTACATATGCTTCACATGATTGACTGTGTTACTATAGATAACAGTAGTATGTTACTGCACAATAATTGGCTGCAATAGTTTTTTGCAGTCTGTCTTATATCTACGCCTTCATTTTCCTGTTTGAGGATGTTTAAAATATAGATATGTTGATGTCAGATCAACTTTAATATATTTCACTGTATTAAATCATAATAAAAAAGTTTTGTTTTTGCAGCACTTAAATTTGTTCTACACAATAGTAGAAGATAATCCAATGTAGTGTTGATTAATTTTGGATTATCAGCAATCACAGCACTTAATCTGATTAGCAAAGGTAAACTGTAAAAACACACTACAATAAAATATTCTATTATGAAAATAAAGCAATTTACTGGCAATTTAATTGCCATGTACCACATGTAATTTGAATGGAATTAAATATTATGTTGTAACCTTAAAATACAATTAATGGTTGGTTCTAATATAAAATAACACATTATTGGAATTTATATACAGCCAATCTCTGTGTGAGGTTGTGTGGAGGTTTTTTGAAGACCCAAATGCAGAAATGAATTCTTGCAGATTTAATTAAGTTTCCAAAGGCAACAGAGGCAAAAACCAAGGAAGAAAATAAAGAAACCAAAAACCAAGAGGTGCCAAGGAGAAACACGCAGGGAGCAAAGCAAAGAAGCAACAAGAAACCAGTACTGCAGAACTGCATAGTTTATATGGGAGACAGAACAAAGACTGGGGTAATCAGCTGATATGGAGCAGGTGTGAATAGAAGTGACTAGAAGGGAGCCAATGGGAAAGGAAACTGGCACAAGGGGGCAACAAGGAGCAACACAAAAACACAACACTGCCAGAAAACAACTACAGTACAAAGACACAGAATTACCGAGAAACTAAACATAAACCTAAAGAAAGGGCAGAACCCTGACTGTTAGCAGTATCCAATTATATAGTGTGATTATTTTTCACAGGAATTGACAACACTTTTACAGCACTTTAATGACATTTGTGCCTGATATTTAAAGGAAATTGGTAACAGTGCTGTCAATAAAACATAAGTGTTTTGAATCAAATGGCATGTGGCAACATCAAATCATGTTAATTCAATCAAATGAAAACCACTGGCAGAAATAAAAGGGGAGATTATGATATCAACATCAGCATTCTTACCAGTAGTACCAGTCTTACTCTTAGATATAGCCTACTCT